AAAGTTTCCTTATCCTGTTTCCCTACACTGTTTATAGCAAGACCAACAATCCACTCACAAACAATTCCCAAATTCATTCTCCAGATTTTAGAAGTTCAGGCTGGGAAATGAGCTGCATTTATATATGCATGTGAAGTTTACCGGCCCTAAGGTATGTTATATCAGCAACAGATTTCCATGCAGTGAACCCCTGGCCAAGAGCTGCATCCACAGTAAAAGCAGAGCAGACTTATGCAGCCTGGCCATGTGTCCCTGCAGAGAGCCTTGCGCCTGGCTGTGGAAGCTGCTGGGTTGATTTGCAGCAGTGATTTGGCAACCTCAGCACCGGAGGAAGCCTCGATGGTCAGTTTCTATCTGAAGCTATCACTGCTAATGGCATTTTTCTGCTCTGTCTAGTTTCATCACCTAACAAATATTTGGAAAATGACCAAAATCAGCTTGCACAGAAAAGTGATAGAGAGTACAATTTAAAACTTGTAACTTAAATGAAAGTAGACATGTAATAGCTGCTTAGACACTGCACTTCAAAGCCGAAAACTACTTCTCCTTGCTAACATTTGATGTTCTTTAACAGGGTGAATTATCTAAATAGTTTATGCTTTATTTAACAGAAATTTCCAGTAAACCTCATTCCATCACTCTGAGTTATGTCACTTCATGCCATGTGACATGAAGGCACTGATATAAGTTTGACAGGCAGTGGCAATACTGACATGTCAGTCTGAGAATTTATGACAAATTATATGCTACAGATATTTTTAAAACTACTGTGGATTGCCAAGAAAAAAAAGTCTTTAAAATGTGTAATTACACTGGGTATATCTTTAGATTTAAAACAAGATATTCACTTCACATAGTTACATTGATGCAATGTTCAGGCTGACACTTCATCAAAAAAAAATGAAAGGAAATTTATGTTGAAATATTCCAAGTAGCTCCAGTTATATATTATATAGCAAAGGAAAATGAGATGTGTCAATGTAATACTTTTGTAATTTTTTTAAACACTGTGTCATTAAGTAATACTGTTAGCATTTAATAATTTGAAATGATCAATCTCAAATACCAAGAGAGGAAAGAAAGGCCCCACCTGAATAGAGAATGACTTATGAAAACTCTATTGCAGCAAAGACTACAACATAAAAGAGGGAGGAGGGGGAAACTTTCACAAGAAGTGGTACTGATCTAAAGCATGTGTTTTTCTTTTTCTGGGTTTTGGGCTTTTTTTTTTTTTGTAATCTCATTTTTGTACAAATTACTTATAATTTCTTTGTAATCTCTGCACTTCAGTTAAAGCATGGTTAGATCAGTCATGTGTGAGCTTTCAAGCATCTATTTTATCTTCAAATTTCTTACCCCCGTAATGGAAGAAAAAGAGACTGAATGCCTAAGAACTAATCAAATTAGTGAAGCATAATCTTTTTTTTTTTTTCAAGGCAGAAGATTAGCTTATTAGAGGGGAAAAAAAAAATGAAAGGAAAAAAGTAAACTCTATGTGCTAATAGGACATAATTGTTCCATACATTAAAAGTACATTTATGTTGTAGAACACCAGAAAATTCTCTCTCAATATTGACCTAAATGCACCAGAATTCTGTTCGATTCTTCTTCAATAACTAATCATCCCAGAAATCAAATCCTCAAAACAGGCTCATGACGGAAATGAGTAGATCTGTTGCAGCTGGAGATGCTGTATTTATAGAATCTAGCTGAACTTCATGCCATAATGTTTTCATTTCAAGCCTTCTTCTTTCAGGTATATGAGTCTGATTTCGGCCCAGTGTTCACTAGAGAGATGGAGAGGTGTCACAGGCATGGCATCGGTTAGTACTGATAGCAGTATTTTCAATAGAAGGGCCTCCATGAACATCTTGGTTTTGACTACTGAACATTTTCCTGGTAATGCCAGATAATTTGACTGCTGAACAATTTCCTGCCGATGCTGTGTGCTACTAGAGCACTCCATGGCAGTTTACACTGTTGCCACCTGGTACATTATTATCCAGGGAATGTTTGCAGTAGATTATGGCACCAAGTTCTACCTACAAATTAATCACAAAGGCATAGTCCGATTAGAAGGATGCCTTCTGTTGGGAATTCTGAAATCAACTTAAACAGGAGCTGATTTAAGAGCGTACATAATTGCACACAGATGTTTGGCTTAGAGCTGCCCACCATCCCTACAGTCAGGAGAATATCCAAACTCTTCAGAATCTCAGAAAGTCAAGTCCATACTGCACAGAAAGCTGATTCTGCCTCTGTTCAGTGTAACCATGTATCAGTTTGTTGCTTTTTACATCAATCTTTAGTGACTTTAAAAGGGCAAGGAAAGAAGCAAAGCTATAGAGAGCCAAATCCATCTGGACAAAAAAATTCCACCTGGAAGGGCTCTCCTGCCAACTTTGAGGACAATGCTAAGTTCATGTTTTTTGTAGTTCTTAGCGTTTGCATTTATATAAACTAAAATACAGTTCGTCACAAAGAGAACTGTGGCCTTTTCCTGAATGTTAACACGCAGACAAAATAAAGCAGGGACAGAATAAGGCACTGTGGGAGCAAGGAGATGATGGAACAAAGCCTTCAGCTTCACTTAGGGGAGTTAGCAGTTGTGCTGAGAAGGCTCTCCAGCTTCCTGAGGGCTTCATATCAAAGCACATCTCCATAGCAGAGAGCCTGACTGTCTTGTATTGACCCACAGACCTGACGGCTAAATCCTGTGCAAACACATGGAAGGAGGTGTACACTCCGAGACATCCAAGCCCAGTGCCACAGACAGAACAGCAGCAGGGGAGAACATAGGGCAGGAAGAGATGATTTTATTCTCGCTGAGCTCATCTGAAAGCCATATCTCTGCTTCCTGTCTGTTACAAAGGCAACTCCTGGCAAAAAGAAAAAAATCAGTAAACAGCTTTACCAGTCGTGTTTGCAGACTATGAAGTGTTTAGCAGCTACTAGGTGTGGAAGGCCAGGGTTTTGAAGGTGTACGTCATACAAATGTTGGAGGCACACATGGTTTGGAGATCACTCTTCTGGCATTCATGCTTTTCTGCTCAACAGCCTTCATGCCACAGTTTTCATGAACTCTGAATTCTTAGTGTGTTTGGGGTAGAAGCCAATAAAACTTTTAGAGCTGAAAAGGGCCAGGCTTAACCATGAGTGTCACCTTTCTGACAGAACTTGACTGGCAACAAAAGGGCTGGACTTGCATTAAAATAAAACAAAACCTGCTTATAAAGCCTCACCTTGAGCCTCCACCCAGAAACCTGGGAAAAGTAAACCAAATTAATCAACTTCACCTGCTCAGTCAGTTAATTTTCCTCATCCATAAGCACAAATCAGTCAGCTTTAAAAGCACCAGTTTGGGAAATGAAAAAAGAACGAAGGAAAAACAAAACAGAAAAACAGTGTGACATATTAAGGACATATACATAGTGCTTGAAGTATAACTTTAAGCATTTTTGCAGTGGTCTCCTCTGCTGGATCCAGCCAGCTGCTTGCCTCGCTCACAGCAGGGCCTGCCCCACTGCTCCTCTAGATAAGCATTGCAGTACTATTGCTTGTAATTTCTCTTATTTCACCTTTTAGGTCAGAACATATATGGCAGTGGGAGCTAACAGTCTCTTTCTATACAGGAGGCTCTTCAACAGTTTCTTCTCTAAATTCCCAGAATTGTAGCAGTTTCTGCTTTGTGAGAGACTCTAAACAAAATCACTTCTTTTTTTTCTCTTCTTGCATATAACTTTTGCCCTCTGATGCTAGAAACTGTTACCTTGATCTCTCACCCTAAGTACTCCTAAGCATAGTTAATTAGTCCAGGCTTTAACCTGGTTTCAAGCAGCTTTCCACAATATGACTTTTGTTAAAATAAAATAAAGCAAATCATCTCTCCATCTTAGTAAATCAATGCATGTGAAATAAAGGTGGCTCACACCTGACCAAAGGTTCTTTCCATTCACTGCCTTTTTTTCTACAGGGGATAGTATCATCAGCAAGTTTCTTCTCTCGGGTCACCTTCTCTTCTGCACTGCTTTGGTAGAAGAACCATGACTTGTCAGCATGTCAGCAGCCAGACTTACAAAGGAAAAGCATCAGCATTTCATGTGTTTCACCCTGTAGCTCCACCACTGACACTTTTGCAGCCCCCTGCCAGGAATCACATATCCTGCAGACCAGAAGCACAGGCACTTGAAAGGGCTCACTAGTATTACAATTTGATATGATGGGTCTCCAACACGAGGCTCGCCAGACCATCCTATTCAAGCTAACTCAGTGGCTCACAAGTTTCACCTGACAACCATTATACTCACCTCCTTTGTTCTCTTTTCAACAGAGGGAGGTATCATAAAATACGTGGCAGATGTATTTATACAGTGATGAAAGTAGTGACTGCAATAGAACAGATTAGATGTATAACCTACATTTAGGCTCAGATAATTTTACTTGGTGAAAAAACACTACCTTCAAGAAATACATTTATCTAGATTACTGGTGATAGGCAAGATTTCATCATCCACTTGGTGTTTAACCTCCTGGTGGTCATGTCAGTAGGACCCACTGGTGTATTTCAGACCCTTTCACAGCTATTAAGTTTTTAAGAACCTCAAAATAAATGACAGTTGTTACTGGGAGAGAGTTGCCACTCTTTTTGCACTGGATAGGTTTCCATTTTTCCTTGATCAGACCTTTAATTGCTTGTGATGAGCCTCCAGATCTCACTGTCTGCTACTGCAGGGTTGAGGTTACCATTGAAAACAGTCATGGCCATGTGTTGGTGGGTGTCCTGTGGGCAGGGGGCTGCTGCCACATGTGGCTGACACCCCCAGCACCAAGACTGCTGTGCAGCAGAGCAGTGTGGCTCTGGGGACGAGCAGACTGGAACCAGTAAGGACCCAGTAATGCCTGATCTGGTACATGGCATCTGTTTCCAGTGGCTGTGCCTGCCAGGGCAATGCACAGGCAAGCGGCCAGTCCTGGGGAGAGGGCTCAGGGGATAGCACAGTGCAGGGGCAGTGTGGCTCTGCAGCAGGAGCTGCTGCCCGGCACCTGCCTCAGCCCATCTCCCGGCTCACCGCGTGACTGTCCCAGGGGCTGGCAGCACCCCAGCACACAGCGCCCTGCCTCTGGCTGGTGGGAGCGGGATCTCTCCCTGGCTCTTGGCATGTCTGGGGTGGAGGAGCTGGGCTCCCAGGAACCCGAAGGCGCTGGGACATGCATGGAGGATGTCCCCTCCATTAAGGAAATTGAGCAGCTCCTGAACACTGGGCGGCCCTCTTGCAATCATGTTGATGAAGTATGGCCTAATCTCTTCTTAGGAGACCTGTAAGTACAGCTTTACAGACATACCTCTGCCATACATTCTGTCTGTTAGTATGCCTCATAGGTGCAGCTTTAGACAGCTCATAGTTTTGCTAATTGCTATCATTTACACAGAAGACAGCACAGTTTCCGAGAGAAAATTATGACTAAGCTGGTACTTTCTTCTTGGTTAGCCCTCAGAAGCAATGCACCAACACTCCAGCAAATGGCTTGGGGGATGCAATCACAGCACTTTTCCTGCTCCGTGATTATCTCTGCGCACATCTCAATTTGTCTTTGTCTTTTCCTTAGAGTAACAGCTCAAAACAGATTTGTTCTCTGGAAGATGGGTGTGACCCATGTTTTAAATGCTGCCCATGGCACATCATACAGCCACGGAGGCCAGGACTTCTATGGAGAGACCATTGATTATTACGGTGTACCAGCCCATGACCTCCCAAGCTTTGACATAAGCCAGTTCTTTTTCTCTGCAGCACAATTTATCCACAACGCCTTGAACACACCAGGAGGTATGCAATTATTGTTGGTCTCATTTTCATGCAAGTTGGCAGTCTCTAGTAACAGGTCAGCTCCACAAGCTTGGTGGCAGACAAGTCACTACATGGTCTCCTGCCATCCTGCCAGCTGCTGGTCACCTGCATGTTGGGTGGCAGGAGGAGGGAGCGCTGGCTACATGGATGTAGCTCTAACTAGGTCTCAGAAAGCTGGTGTGAGAAAAGTGTATGAAAGAGACTGGGGCAGAAAGGGGAGGAGAGGAGAGGAGAGGAGAGGAGAGGAGAGGAGAGGAGAGGAGAGGAGAGGAGAGGAAAATATCTAGAAAGAAAGGCTGGTTCAAAAACGGAGAAGCAAAAACATGCATGTTGTAGATGCCCCATCCCTGGAGGTGTTCAAGGCCAGGCTGGATGCGACTTTAAGCAACCTGGTCTAGTGGAAGGTGTCCCTTCCCATGGCAGAGAGATTTGGAAATAGGTGATCTTTAATGTCCATTCTAACCCAAACCATTCTATGGTTCTCTCCATTTAAAATGGACACCCTCTTTTAAGACCCTCTTACGGCAACTGTATTTGTAAGAACAAATGAATAAAGAGACAGAAGTCCTGATTTTTACAGCCACCAACTACATGAAGAGGCTCATATGTTGCAGGTGAGCTTCTTGAATGAGCAGGGCCTGAAGGGCTGTGCCCCCAAGGAGAAGATTTACATTTACCTAAAGAGATTTATAGTGTGTTGCACAACAGACTGAGCTTCTTGGCACTGGTGCAGTATAATACTAATTAACATGTATTACATAAAAGAGCATTTCTTAGCATAAGCAAACTGGCATTAATGGAGCTGTCTCAGTGTGTGCCTTCAAAAGAGTATTATAGGGGCAGCTGATTGCCTTATTATGCAATGGTACTAGGCCAGTCTTTTTTCTTGGTGGCTAATGTGTTAGTGCCATCCTTTCAAGCCAGATTTTAGCATTCTTCTTCACCAAAGTAAGCGCTTGTGAAACCAATGGGTCTGATTTTTGTCTTGTTCACAACAGAACAACTTCATTACAATAGGATTTTATTTGATTTACCTCTGAGATCAGGCTGGAATCTCATGGCACTTCTCATGCAAGGAGTATAAAAATTGCAAATTAGACTTAATTGTTAGCAGTTCATGTGATCTATCAGAAGGGGAAGAAATATTGATACCATGTATGCAGTGTTACTCTGACCAAGCTGGAGAAGGCAGAAGGGGTTTGCTTTCCCTGTAAATTGAACTACATACACTGTACTGCTTGTCTTCTCTGGTTATATATGTATTTTATTCTTTTCTTAACCAGCTAAAGTTTTGGTCCATTGTGCAGTTGGAGTAAGCAGGTCAGCTTCCCTCGTCCTGGCATACCTCATGATAAATCACCACCTCCCGTTGGTTGAAGCCATCAAAACAGTGAAAGAACATCGATGGATTTCACCCAATCGTGGCTTTCTGAAACACCTGCAAAATTTGGATGTTCAGCTACGGCAAAAGAAGGACTGCTGAAAGGGCAAAACCATTTACATTCACTTCTCTGAATTTCAACCTTCATAGTCATTGTGCTTCCTGTGCTTGATGCATATTGAAAAAAATGAGGAAAATTATGCATCAAAGAAAAAAGTCAACAGAACTGTAAATTGATTCGTTCTGATAGCTCAGTTTCTCCAAAACCAGTACAGCCAAGATCAGCACCATAAGCACTGTGTGCTGCAGTGCCTAACACAGTGCAACCAGATGACTCCACTGGAGTGGTTAAGATGGCCAGAGTTTGGTCCTAGTTTGTGCTAGTGCCAGAGGCATGTTCAGTAATTGCATGTATCTGTACAGTATGCTTGCATGCCCTTTACTTTGGAGTATAACAGCCAGTTTCCTCCGTTTGGTTACAGTTCTTCTGTGCATGTTTTCATAAGAAAATCTTTTTGCATTTCAGGCCTGGTGATGTGGTGAGGAAAATTTCTTAAAAGCACAGGCATTGCTGTAGAAACATTGCTCTTTCACTGGCCTTCTAAATACTACAGAGTTACTACAGAAAGCTGAGACAGCCTGAAGACCCACAACAGCAGAATAAACTTCTGTGCAGCTCTCTGCAGTCTCTGGGTCAGCAAATCTGCAAACATTTCCTTGTGTAAATATGTTTTCAGCATGATAGTGGATATTATGCAGTATACTGAGGACATTTAAAAAAAAGATGTCAACTCTTCAAAGCGTTTTGTAAGCTCATTAGTTCACTATCCCTCACAATTATCCCAAATCAGTTCTGTGTAAGTGGCTTTGAATCATCCCTGATTTATCATCAGGTAGGAACTTTGCTTATGTCAGTGGCTAGGCTTAATTGATACTAATTAGTTTTAAGCTGTTTTGAGGATGTCACTTTTCCTATCACCAGGTAATTGGTACTTAAACCAATGTGATGGTTCATGCAGCAACAGCTGTATTTGAAATTCATGCTACTTACTACTCTGCCTGAAAATTAGCTTGTTACTTTGTGATGAACCATGAAGTGATAATCAAATCTATTTTTGCACTTTGCTACTGGTTTGATTTATTGATTAGCTGACCTTTTAAACCTTCCCTGCAAGATTAAATAAATACATTTATGCTTGTTTGCATTTGAAGCATCAGTTCTGATCGTTTTCCTCTCCCCTGAGAGAGACTTGCAAGGTTCTTTGAAAACTTAAATAGTGATAACTTGTGAGTTAAAACTCTTCCTTCCCAGGACCCCTATACTCCTTAATTCTTGGAGAGATTATAACATGAATACTGATACTGCCTAGCACATATAGGAATGTAGAATTCCCTCCCTATTTCAGTGTACACAAATGCTTTCCAAAGTAAGCAGATTTAAGATCCTTTCAGAGGTCTATTTGATGGTCCAGATTTTCCTAGATGCTGCCAAAGAGCTCCACTGATGAGAGAAAGAGAAGACAGTGTAGTGTAAAAAGATCAAATAGAAAATCACATTTAAAGCCCAACAGTGCTAAGACAATCTTTGTACCTCACAAAGCAGCAGAGTGGTGGAGGAGGGGGTGGGTTTGCTTTGAAGTTTTCCATTAGAGTTAATAGGGACTTATATGAGCTAATATTTCATTATAATTTATACTTTATTCACGTTACAGTAGGTTTTAGTCTGGAAACCCTTTCAAGACATGGCATTGAAAAATCTGAAATTCACTTGAGTGGAATAATGCATCTTAATGGCCTTAGGCTGGGCAAAATTAGACATGTGTGAGCAAGATTAATGGACCCCCCCACCAGGATTATGTTTTGCATGCCCCTGAACATCTGTCCCACAAAGCCACAGCTGTGAAAGCTGCTTCTGTTGTAAATTAGTACCTGCTCTCAGAGATACTGCTCATCCTGGGAGAGGATCGTTTCATCAGGAGAAGAGTACAAAGCGAAGCTGAGTCAATATAGCATCTATGCCACCAGTGACATGGTAGTGATCTTGTACAGCAAGACTTACCCCAGTGGAGGGAATCAATTAGTTAGAAACTCTTTTCAAGGACACTGGCAAATCACAGAAGTGTTTTTTATCTGTGCAGTTAGTATTGTCTATATTTCCTGCCTGGGTGTATTGCTCTCTTCCTTATATACAGTTTAAATTTGGCTCCAGGTCTGCTCAGGGAAAAAGACTCTAGTCAACATAAGCAAAAGGTCTGCTCAGGAAAAAAAAATCCAGTCAACATAAGCTAAAGCAGTAGAATTAGTCCTGTAACTTCTTAAACCAGAAAATACTGTCTGCTGTGATGTGCTGGGAGGAAAAGGGCCTTCTCACCTGTCACTTGTACTACCCACAGTTCAAGTCATGATGTGACGTGACATTAGTACTTCACTATTTTCCACTATCAGTGGGAAAACTTGTATTTCAATTATTGGTTTGGCAAGTTAGACTAAGGAACCAAAACAAGAGAAAATACTGCTTCACCAGTGGCACTTCAGAAAATGTACATCTGTCAATAGGGCCTAAGCAACCCAGGAGACTAAAGGAATTGAATATTAACTCTTAATTGAGGGAGGGTCCTTAGAAAGATATTGAAGTACCTAAAGGTAGCCTGGGTACCTGCAGAATAGGCCAAACTACCTAGGTTTATGCAGCGGTGCCTTCATGCCCCCCGAGGAGCCTACAGAAACTACCAATTCTGGAAATCCAGCCTGGCCAGGAGCTGATTACTTTCCATCTCCTCTGAAACAGGCACACAGGCATTCCTACCCCAGACTTGCCTTGTCCTGGGGTCTTTCCTTTGTCTGTTCTTAATTCCTTTATCCCTTTTCAAGTTTCTTCATTTAGTTTTTATGTTTAGCTTTAAAATGCATCTGACAAAGTCCACAGAGGAGTGCATATGATCCAGGAATGAGCCCTTCCTGTGAGAAAGGACCATGCCAGAACAAAAAGTTGGACCTCCTCCGAAGACAATCTGAAAATCAGGTTTTTATTCTTTTGAGAGCAATTTTCATTGAGACCCAATTCCTGAGCCACCTTACCAAGTGGGTAATGAGGACTAGTGCCAGCTTAGCAGAGGCTGCGAGTGTGTGTCTGTGAGCAGAGAGCACAGTGAAAGGGACTGTCCCAACTACAGCTGACATATACCTGCTTAAAGCAGTCACAAAACCACAGTGTTGCCTGAAGTGAACCATGTAAAAGCCCACTGGAAACTTCTCTTAATTTTATTTTCCAGTACAAGAAGTCAGGGAATCAAATGAAGTCAGTAGAAGCCAGGTCTAAAACAAGAGGAGGGGGTTTAGGTGAGCTGTGTAATGCCTTGCTGCAGGATGTTGCAGAGGGTAAAAGCCTATAAATGTTCACAGGATACCTAGAAGAGCTAATGGGATAGAAATACATTCAGGGTTACCAAATACTTAGAAACTCCCTCCAGATCAAGAAGCTCATGAGCTGCAGCCAGCTGGAAGCTGGGAGAGTGCTAGAAAGCAGTGTAATTTATGTTTGTGTGTTCTTATTTTCTGTAGGCATCCACTTACAGCCAGTCACGCACAGGATAGTGCACTCAATGGACCTTTTGTAAGAAGGCCCAGGACAGCTGCTGTCGTGGTCTTTATTTTGAACTCCCCCCTAAGATGAGCTGTCCCCTCTTTCCCGGTAGCTTATTATTAGAACTGGGTCACATGAGACATTTGGGATTGCATCTCAGTTGCGTTGACCGACATTTCTTTCACAGGGAAAGCTCTGTGCTGGCAGGCACACCAATATAGCTTACGTGGGGAGGGCAGTAGCAGGGGTTTTGTGTGAGATTCGCTTCATAGAGAATCTTCATTTTCATGGCTGTTCCCCATTGCATCAGGGATGAGGCGCTGAGCTAATCCGGGGAGGCGTCAAGGCGCGAGCTGTATTTAGAGACAGCCACCTGCTTGGGAACGTCAAGCAGCAGCAAAGAGCATGCTTCAGCAAAAAATATCCCCTGTGGATTCTGCAGCAGCGGCACCCAGCAGGATCCCCCCTGCCTAAATCTGTGTGTGGCCACCAAAGGGGTCAGTGCCTGAAGACAGTCAGACCTTGTCAGCCCAGGAATGCTCTAAGCCTGGTGCTCCTTCTGCCCAGGAACTGCCAGATATTTTGGACAGCTGCGATGTGGAGTTAAATCACATGGGTGAAGAATGGCCTAATCTCTACATAGGCAATATGTAAGTGTTATCTGAGGCTGTGCTGCTCTGAAGGGCTGGGGAATACAGTACTGGTTAACATATGCTGTCCAAATACTTTATTTAGTTAGCTTGTTAGACTTCGTTGCCTTAAAATAGGCTTACAATTATCATAGAAGAAAGTAAAAAGATTATTAAAAAATAACCTACAGAACAGAATAAAATTAATTAAAGAGACTAAGACTCTTTATTGCTTTGCATTATAATTATTCAACATACAGATTTTATAAATGCTGCAACATTTACCATATAAAGCACAAGGCAGACTCATGATCCTGAGTAGACTTAAAATTGAACTATGATTGGGTCTAACTTTTTGAGTTTAATTTTAACTAGAATAGAATTTTTCACAGAAAAAAAGCATTCTACTTTTTGCTGTTTGTATGACAACTTGATTTGCAGTTGAAATTGATGACAAAAAAATGTATGGTTATTCTCCTGAATATATGCTGTCTGCTGAACGACAGCCAACTTCACTGTTTATTTCTTGTACATGTGCAGATGGTTGTTTTGCTCTGGAGCATGGAGAAAGCATGCAGTCACCTGCACTCAACAAGCCTAGTACCAAATGTTATGCGAAAATGAGTTCTTTCCACCACCAGCAGGTTGCAAACTTGTTGAAATATCAATAATCAGTAATTCCTATATGAGAGAAGCAGGAGGAACTAACGATCCTTTGGCCAATTAGACATTACAAGCTAATTGGTCATTATTTTAGCTATGAAAAAACCAAGCCTAAAAATGAGGTAGATGACAGGGAAATAATCTCCGTTTACAAAACTTGGTTTTAGAAATTACAGCCTGCTTCCTAATCTGTGTTTCTAATCAGGAATGTGACACCCTGCAGATGAGCCATGTGCATAGCA